AGCTTAGTGGTCGTCTGAAAGTAAATCTCTCGCTGTTATTTGGGCCAATATTCCACCGCATCACTAGATATGCACCATGTTGAATAATGGAAATGAAAGCAGCTCACCTTAGCGCGTTTCATTTTAGATGTTTACTCATCTGATAGCGACTCTTCAGATAACTTTTTTAGTACCTACGTCCAGTCATTTGTCTGATGGTCTTCTGCAGTACTCCATTGTGTTGCAATACGCGCCATTAATATTGACGGCGTACAGAGTCGATGGCTGCATAGAAGACGAGGAATCCTGCAGGCCAGGGTAATTGTAAGCTCTTTCTCTGTTAAACTATCTTCTTTCGTACTGCGAGGTCATCCGTACAAGAAAGTCCTGTTCTAAACCCTTGAGTTTGATTTTAGTGAAGCGAATCTTTAACTCTGAAGAATGATTCACGCGATTTCCTTTTGCAGCCCAAGCGGTGGCGTGATCCCGCCTAAAGCGAGGGAATCAGAATGATTCCAACGTTTGAACATGAGAATGATCACGCCCTTCTGCCAGTTCTCAAGAATTTTTACTTCCACCAGATGTATCCAGTTCAATAAGGTTTCACTTGGACACTTCAAGATTATCGCACTAATCTTGTCGTGCGTTTACGATTTTTGACTTCGGCAGAGCCGTATGACATATCGATATAACAAGTGATGCTGTGGAAGAAAACCGACAGCCGTGGACAAACGTGCGTAGAAGTCATTCTCCTTTTGACCATCTGTGACATTTCTGGGGCTTACATGACTACCACTTTGACCTTCACGTGCTTTGTTGTAGGACGACAAACGAACATGTGGTAGGTGTTACACTCGACAGATATCAAGACTTTCATTGCTCGTGGCGATAGCAGCACTGCTACTACTGACTCACATCTGAAAACGTGGTTTCCGGACTATGTGTCTACCAGAAGAAATTCCCTCTTGTTGGTATAACTGTTGCTGAGATCGGAAGGAGGTCGGTGAGGTATCGATGATATAATGCAGCTTGTTGTGTCCATCGTTCAACGTTCGCACCTTCCAGCAAGTGATGTGGATCTTCTCCTTGCTAATGTTGATCGGGTGATCGGCCAGATGTTTTGTGTTAAACCTTCGAATTTCTGCACGTGTCCGATTGATCGAACAAGCGCCACGTTACTGGATAGCGTAGCGGAGCGAAGGTGTAATCTAATTGCTCATGTCACCGAACAATCTTCGAGTAAAGAGGTTTGTTGACTAAGTCCAGAAGTCCTTCTTTTCGCAAAGGTTGGTATGTCTGAAGCTAAAAGACAAGCTTTTGGTCCAGGAAACTGTTTAAATGGCTTGTTTTTGGCCGAATGGAGGGTGACAAACTTCATAATAAACCTACTAGCACTCTCAACATCTCAACTTTAGCTCAGTTTATAATTTAATAGTGAAGGTTTATACCTGCAACTTAAACAGAAATAAGTCTGAAAGTCTGTCTGCGGCGATGAATTTCTTAAAGAAGAGTGGAAGCATATTAAATTAGCCTTATATTAAGAGAATAATCATCCAGACAAATTCGATAGCAACTTCATAAACCGTTGAATT